AGCCCAGTGGAGTGTGATGATCCATGGGGCAACAGACAGACTGACAGTGGCTCCTGAATGGCTCCTGGAAGAATCCTCCAGCCCTGTCTAAACTTGTCCCCCGCCCCAGGGGCCTCAGGCTATGTTTGTTATGTGAAGTAGCAGGTAGGCAGAGAGGCCGTTCTGGGCCATCCCGCATAACAGGAGACAGAATGATGTTTGAAAGCTTACAGGTTAGCTGTTACATGGATTGTTATGAGTGTTGACTCAGAAGCTGGTTTAGGGATATTGGCTATCTGGGGAGTCCAGTCAATGAAACTCAAAGACATGAGTATCTGGTATCCAGCTGGTTTTCAGGGTTAACTAGTTTGGGCATCTACCCAGCCTGTCCCAATCAAGCACTCTCCACTGTGTATTGGATTCTATAGGAGAACGTATAGAAAGAGGCATGACGGTCAGGACAGTAAGACAAATCCAGTAAGACAACAGCTAAGACGAATCCCTGTGCTATTTCTCTGTTTCACTCTCCCGTCCAAACATCAATGGGGATTTCCAGAACAACGGCAGAGAGGTCTAAGAGCAGCGCACCCTCTCCTGTGTGAGGGCCGGCTGAATGGACGGATCGTGGGAGCAGTGTGCGTCTGAATACCAAAGGTCTCCGTGGCGGCACAGCCATGTAGCCGAACAAATAGCCTTTCACCATATCCTCATTCCTACGGGGACACAGAAAATCAGGCGTGTGTATGTATGTGTGTGTGTGTGTATGAGTGTGTGTATGAGTGGTTGTGTGTGTGGATTCCTCGTTCTCACGGCCATGAATGTGGCCGTGAGACAGCGATCTGATCCGCTGTCAGATCAGTCGCCCAGGAGTTATGGGCTCATTATCACCCCCTCCCTCATCCTCCCATCCTCCCTCATCCTCCCTCATCCTCCCATCCTCCCTCATCCTCCCCTGTTCTGTTAGAAGGCGGGAGCGTGAAGCAGCGCTGACGTCTGACGGACTGATCTGGCCATGACAAACATGAGTAGAATCGTCAGACCGTCCTGTGCTGAATCTTAATTCCCACCAATTGAAAGTCTTTCTGGAGTGGCACTGGAGTTGAACTGTTGGAGAGAGCTGCCATATCAGTGTAGACTGGAGGAACCTGTTCTTGCCAGTGTCGGATTGTCAGTGGATTCCTTGGAACAGATTTATACACATGAATTAACAGATGAATACACATGGATTGCATATAGGCTGCATCTAGGTAATTGACCTCTCCGTTGGGGTAACAGGGAACAAGCTCTGTACATATCTGATTCACTTTCCAAACCATGACAATGAAATGGATATCAATTGCACTGTACCAAATGTCGAAGTCTGAGTGTCATTACCATAACATAATGTATGTGAGGGCGTTTCCCCTTATAGAAGGAAACCTGTCCAGCATAACAATCAGACCGGACAGAGCTGAAACAATATTGGGTAGATAAGACTCTTCATTGGTATCACGAGGAGTAGTCAGAGCTGAAACAATAGTGGGTAGATAAGACTCTTCATTGGTATCACGAGGAGTAGTCAGAGCTGAAACAATAGTGGGTAGATAACTCTTCATTGGTATCATGAGGAGTTGTCAGTAATGAAACAATATTGGGTGGTTAAGACTCTTCATTGGTATCATGAGGAGTAGTCAGAGCTGAAACAATAGTGGGTAGTTAACTCTTCATTGGTATCATGAGGAGTAGTCAGTAATGAAACAATATTGGGTGGTTAAGACTCTTCATTGGTATCATGAGGAGTAGTCAGTGCATTCACCAAGACAAAAGTCTATGTTCCAATATGCATACCAGAATACCATTTAGAATGCATGTCCAATACATTGCTTCTAATTGGTACGCTATGAACATTGGAACAGAGCATCCTAGGCCAATCAGTGAACACCTGCAGAGGTCATGTGGGAAAGGGCGGAGGTCAGTGGATTTGCATGTTTCACTGGCCACCACCCTGTGGGGCCTCTACTTCTGCTGTTAGCTGTTAGCATAGCGCTAATGGGCCATTCAACAGCTGCCTGTGTATACACGGTCTGAGCTGCTAGTAAACTAACTTTCACCCTGCTCCATTGTTTGGTAATCAGCTTGTAAAGTGAAAATAGACATAGTGGTTCTCTCATGGGGGGGTCCCTGGACTGGTTATAGGTTAGCTTATTGGTCAGTCTTTATCCAGTGAGGGGAGGACATCCCATTCCTAACCCAGAGAAAGGTGAGGCTAACTGGGACAAGGATCAGTGGAGACGGGGCATTGGGGAATGGACAACCTTCGGTCTATCGGGTCAACTGGGCACAGAGACCACATTATTTTTTTTCTCCAAATGGGATCTTCCTGGGCCAGTCCAAAATGGAAGAAAACCCTCTTTTGTTCCTGTCAGGGGACACCATGATGGGAAAACAGGCATGTAATGCTGGGAAGAGATGGGTTTGGTGATTATTTTTACAGGGCGGTGGTGTTGCTTCTATTCTCTGTAAATTGTGAAAATATCAACAG